TGACCGTTCCATCGGTGGCCAAGTTTGGGTGCATTTGTTTTTGTTACTTATTGCAAAAATCAATCAGTCATCATCACACCCAGAGGCACATAAGGCAGAGACAAACTGTCGCCACTCAGTTAAATCGTGAGCCATCCTCTCTATCTTCAGCTTTGTCATTCGCGTAGCCTTGAGCCTCAAAAGTTCGCCTCCAAGTGCCTCTGGGCCTCTCTTCCTCACTGTCCTTATGGTATCAGTTGCATTGGCGGTCTCGGTCATCTCTCTTTCTTCATTCTGAGGATGTATCCAATCCACCTCCATCTTGGTTTTTTTTTTTCCAATTTCTAAATTTACATCGTTCTATGTCAGTCATTTGCTGTAATCTTGAATAGGTGACTTTATCTTCCTATGTGAAGCCCAACAATCTTCTGTCATTTGCTGTAATCTTGAATAGGTGACTTTATCTTCCCATGTGAAGCCCAACAATCTTCAGTCATTTGCTGTAATCTTGAATAGGTGACTTTATCTTCCTATGTGAAGCCCAACAATCTTCAGTCATTTGCTGTAATCTTGAATAGGTGACTTTATCTTCCTATGTGAAGCCCAACAATCTTCAGTCATTTGCTGTAATCTTGAATAGGTGACTTTATCTTCCTATGTGAAGCCCAACAATCTTCAGTCATTTGCTGTAATCTTGAATAGGTGACTTTATCTTCCTATGTGAAGCCCAACAATCTTCAGTCATTTGCTGTAATCTTGAATAGGTGACTTTATCTTCCCATGTGAAGCCCAACAATCTTCTGTCATTTGCTGTAATCTTGAATAGGTGACTTTATCTTCCTATGTGAAGCCCAACAATCTTCAGTCATTTGCTGTAATCTTGAATAGGTGACTTTATCTTCCTATGTGAAGCCCAACAATCTTCAGTCATTTGCTGTAATCTTGAATAGGTGACTTTATCTTCCCATGTGAAGCCCAACAGTCTTCTGAGAAGTCTTCCTTCAAAACCTCTGAGCATGCTCGCTATCTTTCTGTCGGTTGTTCCGGTTTCTGCTCCATAGAGGAGAATTGTCCTAACGCATGTTTTGTATATCCTGATTTTAGTGTTAGTGCTGCAGATGTTTGATCTCCAGACACTCGGAAGTCTGTGCAAGCAGCCTTTGCAGTTCTCTTCAAATACAAAATTTCCATCCGAGGAGACATTACTTCCCAGGTAAATGAAGTCAGTTACTATTTCCAAACCTACATTACCTATTACTAAAGGTCTTTCACTTTTGGAGTTTACCTCGAGCAATTTTGTTTTATTGCCATTGATTCTTAACCCTGTCTGTTTTGCTATTTCTGTGATCTTATTTGCCATTTATTGTAGATGTTATTTACACTGGCTGATGACACAGATATCATATGCAAAGTTCAAATGTTCGAGAAGGTTTTATTGAAGTCCCATCTGTGGTTTCTTTCTCCGTAACTAGTCTGTTATTATAAGAAACAAGAAATGTGACAAAATGCACCCTTATCAGACTCCTAATGTTACCCTGAAGTATGCTGTTTCCATGCGTCCTGCTGTTACTTTGCATTAGTATCTTTCATAGAGTTCGTAAAACATATTTAAAACTTTATTTGGTAACCGTACGCAGCAAGGATCCTCTACATCATTGTTCTTTCTTGTCTGTCAAAGGCCTTTTCAAAGTCTAAACAGTTTATATATGATGTGGCATTCTATTCTAAAGCTTGTTTCACAATATTTCTGAAAGTGAAAATGTGATCACAGCAGTTTCTTACTTTTCTGAATCCTGCCTGATCTTCCGACAAAACTTTGTCTGCTGAAGTTTTCCTTCCATTGTATATCAGAGCGCCTCTCTGGGTAAAGGCAATAATGTTATGCCCCTCTAGTTGATGTCAGTGTGAGAGATCAACTCTGCCTTTCTAGTTGATGCCAGTGTGAGAGATCAACTCTGCCTTTCTAGTTGATGCCAGTGTGAGAGATCAACTCTCTTTGTTAGTGGGATGATTACATAATTTTTCCAGTCTGTTGAGACCACTTCATTTATTCACATTTTGCTGAATATTCCATTTATTGCTTTGACTGTCAACTGTTGATCTGCCTTTAACATGTCAGCACTAATTCGGTCTTCACCTGGTGCCTTCCCATTCTTTATACTGCTGACTTAATGAATCAATGACAGTCAACCCCACCTGGACATCCAGCAAGCGATAAACACCCGGTTACACAAGTGCCGCCATCCGGATCAGGATTACCCGTGGAGAGGTCCCAGAAGCCCCGTTCAACCGTTAGGTTATATTTAGGCCCCATGCAAGCCAGGGTGGGGTTTCAAATAGTGCACATGGGGCTTCAAATAATGCACATGGGGCTTCAAATAATGCACATGGGGCTTCAAATAATGCACATGGAGCGTCTCACATGGGGCCTATAATAATTTGCTGCTCATTGGTAGGTAGAAAATTGTACCCCACCAGTACATCGCACTAGCATAAACATCCGGTGACACAAAGTGCCACC